ACCCCTTTCCAGGGGGTTGTACAGTGACGTCCTTTCCGAGGGTATAGTATGAAAAGGGGGGAAAAAGAGTGACCTTATAGTGGAGAAACCTGACAAGTTCAGCCAGGTGACCAAAGGGAACCTCATCGGTGATAGGCATTCTGCAAAACACCCAACTGGTACTCGTCAAAATCATCAAGGTCATCACAAACAGGAAGTCTGAGAAACAGTCACAATGGAGAGGAACCTAGGAAACATGATGACTAAATGCGATGGGCTATCCTGGGTGAGATCCTGGAACAGAAAGAAGACATTAGGTAAACAACTGAGAAATCGAAAGAAGTATATGCTTTGCTAAATATTATGTATCAACCTTGGCTCATTAGTTGTAACAGACCTACCTTAGTAAGATGGTAACCGGTAGGGAAATTGGTGCAGGGTATATGGGAAATCTCTGTACTATCTTTGCAATTTTTCTGTAAACCTACAATGATTCTAAAATTTAAAGTTTATTGAAAATAAAAGCGTAGATTAAGAAAATTCAAACCTATTCTTTGTGTGTCCCTTGTAGGTGAAAAGCTATCACTAAAGCCGCTGACATCAGCAGATATCTCTTCAGCTTGAGTCTTCCTCTGCCTTTTGCAACTGAGATATGAAAGATCTGTGTGATTACCAAAAAAAAACCGGAATTTTGATTTATTTTAAATGAATGTTTTCCCTTAGTTTTCCAAATTGGTCCAGCTCAGTTTCTCTTTGCTTTCATATTATTAAACTTTCTGGCTTATGAATTTTGTGTTATGTTTGGCACGTAAAACAAAATAAAAGATTTTACTAACAAGATTCTTTATGCTTCTTTGCTCTCAGTGTCTTTGTGTCATTAATTTTAAGGGTCAGTCTCATAGTTTTGTTCCGGTAATTTGGTTTCTTCGCAGGAGAGTTTGGTCCATGGCAACTCAGTTCTCTTTCATCTAAGAACTTTGAGACAGAAAAAAAGACTATAATGACTATTATAAGACACTTATAACACATTTGACTAATCTTTTTGCTCTTTATCGTATTATCTGTAAGTATTATTAATGCCGACCAAGTAACAGCACACTATGCCTTGCTTCCTAGCTGCACACCTGACAGGTTTGTGGTGTTGATCTCCTTTCTCTTCTCAATATGAAGATTCAGGACAAGTAATAAATGTTCAGTGATCAAATTCAGCATGACCCAGTTTTGATTAAATATTCATAAATGCATAAAGCAACATTTTTTTCACATTCATTATTCCATGTGTTCTATACACATCATTTTGCCCTGATGAAAACCTCACTCCCTGGTTTCCTTTGGTTCTCTCCCCACCCTTGAATCCATGTCATTTGTTGGGATGGGGAAGGGGAGGCAAAACTACTGGAGAGGTTTATTGTGTCATTCCAGAGACAGCAAATGTGGAGGCACCTTACTGGGCACTCGGCAAACCAGTGTTCTACCCCTTCTTCCCCTCCCCTCATGGAGTTGGGTGCTTTGCAAGGTTGCATCTGGGATCCGCTCTTTTCACACCTCATGTTCTCAGTGTCATCTATGCCGACGGCTTCAACCGTCTCCTAGATGTCAGGGAGGACTATTATTTCCAGTCTCCCCCTTACTGATGACGTTCTGAACGACTCTTCAGCTGCCTACTAACCGAGTCCAACTGGATGTCCCTTAGACCTTCTCTACCCCACATGTCAAATGCTATCACCACTTACTTAGCTGTTCAAGATACAAACTCTAAGTACCAATGAGTATCAGTGAGTCCTGAACTGACTAGTCACATCCTTTGCCCTTCTCCTCACATCTAAGCAGCCACTGGCTTCTGTCACTTAAATTCCACTTGATAGCCCCAGCGGATGACCTATTTTGCTTGCTGCTGTATCCCCGGGGCCCAGAACAATGCCTGACACCTGCTAGATACCTACTCAAATCATTCACTGAACGGATCAACCTGTCCTCTTCTCCTTGTCTTCACCGCCATGGATGTGGCCCGAACCTTCATGATGTCTTCGAACAGTTAGGCACAAGCTCCTGAGCTAGTCCGCTCGCCTCTAGTAACTGCAGTTCCGTTACCTTCTTTCCAATCCGTCTTAAAAACTTCCTGCCCCAAGTTTAACTGTGATCATTTTTTTTAAAAGACCCCAAAACTTCCCTGGCCCCTCATAATAGAGCCTCAGTTTACTTCTTTAGCCTATTCTCCTTTCACATCTTCACTCTTAAAATTCCCTACTTCCATGGCCTTCAGCACACAGACATTTTTTAAAATTTCAAATTCCAACTGTTCATTGGGGTAATAAAGCAAAAAAAAAAAAAAAAGGATGTAAAAAAGGATGTTTTATGACCCAAAATGTGGTCTATCTTCATGAATGTTCCATGTGAGATTAAGAAAAATACTCTACTGTTGTTGGAAGCAGTCTACAGACGTCAGTTAGACCCGGTTGACTGATGGCGCTGAGTTCAACTACACTCTCACCGACTTTCTGCCTGTCGCGCCTGTCAGCTGCTGATGAGGGGGTGCTGGTCTCTAACGGTGCATCTGTCCCTCTGTCCTCGCTGTTCCATCAGCGTTTGCCTCCTGCAGTTTAATGCTCTGTTGTTGCTCTGGTTTTAACTGAGCACGTTATGATTCCATTTTCTCCCTTCTCTCTTAGCAAATCAATTGTGTATATATTCTCAATTTCTTCTACCTTCCAGTTAGCAATGTACATTTACAACTAATCTAAGTCCATTATTTGAACACTGCTCTTTCATGGGTAGTACAGCAATCTTATAAGAGAATATTCACAATTTCTGCCTCCCATCATTGCTGTCATTCATTTTACTTATCCATACACTACAAACATTAAAAAATTGTTGCTATTATTTTGAACAAAGTCATCTATTACACCAATTAAAATTTTTAAAAAAGATTTTAACTCCATGCTCTTCCTTCATCAGGGTTCTAACCCATACCATTTCCTTCACTCTGAAGAACTTTTAGCACTTCTAACACAGGTCTCCTGACAACAAATGTCTTCAGTTTTGCTGAGACTCTTCCTTCACTTTTAAAAGATAATTTTGCTGGATAGTATCTTCTGTTGTTGAGTTTTTTTTCTTTCAACATCTTAAATATCTACACTCAGTGAGAAATCCAATATAATTCTTACTCACGATCCTTTATAGAAAAGGGGTTTTTTGGGGCGCCTGGGTGGCTCAGTGGGTTAAAGCCTCTGCCTTCGGCTCGGTTCATGACCCCAGGGTTCTGGGATCGAGCCCCACATCGAGCTCCCTGCTTCCTCCTCTCTCTCTGCCTGCCTCTCTGCCTACTTGTGATCTCTATCTGTCAAATAAATAAATAAAATCTTGTTTAAAAAAAAAAAAGGTGTTTTTTGGGGGCACTCGGTGGCACAATCAGTTGACGACCAACTTTTGATTTTGGCTCAAGTGATGATCTGAGTCATGAGATCGAGCCTTGCTTCAGGCTCTGCACTCAGCAGAGTCTGCTTGGGACTCTCCTCTCCCTCTGCCCCTCTTGCTTCTGATCTCTCACTATAAAAACAAATACATCTTAAGAGAGAGAGAGAGAGAGAGAGAGAGAGGAGAGGGAGAAGGTATTTTTTCCCCTAGCTTCTTTCAAGGTTTTTTGTCCTTGTTTTCTGCAGGTTGAATACGATACGCTTCGGTATAGATGTTTTTGGTATTTATCATGCTTGTTCTTTTCTATGCTTCTTGGACCTATGGTTTGGTTTCCATCATTAATTTATGGAAAAAAGACATTATTATTTCAAAATCTCTTCTGTTCTTGTTCTTATTCTTCTGGTATTCCCATTATACCTATGTTATAGCTTATATAATTGTCCCATAGTTGTTGGAAAGTTTTTGTGTTTTGGTGGTTTGTTTTTTGTTGTTTTGCATTTCAGCCTGGGAATTTTTTACCAACACATTTTCAAGCTCACTGATCGTGTTTTTATTCTTCCCCGTTTTACTGTTTCCCTAAGAATACAGTATTAAAGAGTGTGTCCTATCGCTCTCCAATTCCAGGACAACGACACTGGAGCCCTGTTTGATGTAATGGATTTGAGAAGGATTGTGTAATCTTATGATTCTAAATCTGTTTATACTTAACCCGAGTCCCTGGGCTGTGACCTTCAGAAGTGTTTCTTAGCCCTTTCTTTTCCTCCTCTTAGGAAGGAGGAATATACACAAGAAGGCTATAGGGGCTCGAAGTGTAGGAGTAACTGCCCTGGCCCCAGGCTGGGTAAGGCTCTGGTAGTGTAGCTCTCCTCAGAGGGTAGGCCTTTGCCATGGAAAATGCTCCGGGTGTATTTCAAAATAGTTACCTTCCCTTCCCCTGTCTTGCCTAAAACACAGGGGATCCTGATCTCCAATCTGAGAACCTGATGGGGCTCCTGGGGATAAATCCTAGAAAGTGTAGGGCCTCCCCAGAGAGTGGGCCCTCAGGGGGTTTAACTGTCAGGCTAGTTTACCCTCGGCCTCCAGGAACTCGTCAAAGTTACCAGTTCGCTGTTCCTATCAGTTATGGCTCCAGGAGCTTGTGCTCCCAACAAGCTCTTTCACCCAGGCTTCTATCTGCCTGTCCTTCCAGTCTTCAGAGTAGTTTGCTCTGTGACCTCAATTCTCTGGTGGAAATAAGAAAAGCCACTGATTTGCAGCCTTTTCAGCCTTCTTCTGATTGTGAGGATGGAGTGATGACTTCAATGCTCTTCACATGTTGGAGCTGAAACTGGAAGTTGCCTACAAACTCACTTTTAAAAGTCCTTTTCTCTATAAAGCTGGCCTGAAATAACTCTCTCTGAGGAGCTTTCCTGGACTCTCTCTAAGAAATGAAAAGCTCCTCCCTGTGCGCTCTGGAGCTCGGTGCAACCACCAGTGTCCCACATGCCATCTACCAGCTCTGGGGCCGCCTGGCTGGAGAACAGGCACTGCGGCTCGGCTCCGGGCTTCTGGCACATGCTATAAATCAATGTCCACTGAAATGAAAGGAAAAGAACAAAACACTGTTTGCTAATTAAAAACAAAGTACTACTTTTATTTGGCTCACGTCTCCATTTATTAGAATTACCACATTTGGAGAGGCACAAAGCACTTTAAGTTTTACATGACTACAAAGTTATCACAAATCCCAAACTTTTTAGCCACGGATATTTCACTTACTCCGTTTAAAGAAAAAGCTTTCAAAACTTCTGAGTTAGCTTGGACACAGAGACCCTGAATATATGGGAACTACAGGTTTTTAAATGCTTGCGCTTCCTGTTCTAACAATGTCTTCTTTAAATGGAATCCAGCATAAAAGGGATTGAAATACGTAAGGTCATGATGCAAATGCTGTGGATAGACCGTGAAATTCATCCGTGCAACTCGGTGAAAGCCGTCGCGCGCTCACTGGGCCATCTGCGCCTCCATGGCCTGTGCTGTCCACTCTGGCGCTGTCTGACTGATCTTCTCCAGCAGGTTATTCACTTGGAAACAAAGGGACTGGATCTGTTTGTCCCACGTTGGCAGGGCTTCCCGTGCTACACAGAACAACACACACGCCGTTTAACATTACTCCATGAATGCTCAGCAAGTGTAACTCAAAAGATAAACACAGTAATACTAATTTTCAAAAATCCATTCCAAAAATCTTGGCTAATAAAATTAAGCTAATCAAGCGATATTAAGGAAAGTACCCAAATTACTGGCACAAAGTACAAAACCAAAAGCATATCCGCACAGATCCATGTTATTATTATTCATGAAAACGAAAGAAAACCAACCAAAGCACGTCAGTCACAAAACCACCACCAAACCACCACCGTAAAAGCCTCGCTGAACCCACCAGCAGTTTCTCGAGTCATAAGATACTGCCACCTACTGGACAAAGCACATCTCTTTGTCTACTGGACTCTGAGGGATAAATATTTTAATGTTTAAACAAAAAAGCAGGGCGCCTGGGTGGCTCAGTCATTAAGCATCTGCCTTCGGCTCAGCGCATGATGCTGGAGTCCTGGGACCGGGCCCTGCATCGGGCTCCCTGCTCGGCAGGAAGCCTGCTTCTCCCACTCCCCATTTCTGTTCCCTCTCTTGCTGTCTCTCCCTCTGTCAAGTAAATAAAATCTTTAGAACAAAACAAAACAAAACAAAACTCAGCAAGAAAACACCAGGATTTTCTCCACACCAGCAATATGCAGTTAAAAGGGGAATATTCCACTCAAAACAGTCCCCAAATATACAAAAATGGACATAGAATTAAAAAAACTGAAATAAAAAAATTTTTAATAAAGGATATAAAATAACCTGAGCAGAAGAAACGACAGCCTCAGACAGAAAGATACAGTATCACAAAGAAAAGAACAGCCCTCCCTGTTCACACATACTTTTTTTTTTTAAATTACGAAGATAATCCCCGCTTTCTTTGTTGTTCTTTCTAACAGGACAGGATCATTAGCGTTCATACGGAGGACGGGACGTCTGAAAACAGCTGAGATGATCTGGGACATCAAGAACAGTGCAGCGCTGCAGTGGGCCCTGCCGCGGAGCAAGCGCCGCTCCACGCGCCGACATGAATGACAGGAACGACATGAACGACAGGAACGGAGCCGCAGAGCACTGTGTTAAGTGAGAGTGAGCGGTCAGACGGCGCACGACCGCGTCTCTACAAAGTATCCAGAACACGCCCGACCACAGCACGAAAATTCGGACAGCGGCTGTGGCGGCCGGGAGAAGGAAGGATGGACGCAACTATTCTCAAGAGGCACGAGACTTCCTCTTGGGAAGACGAAACATTTGGGACGAGGTAGAGCGGGTGGTTGCACAGCACCGTGAACCCACTAAAGGCTCCGAATTGCTCACTTTAATGGTTCACGTCGGGGCGCCTGGGGGGCTCAGTCACTGAGCGTCTGCCTTAGGCTCAGGTCATGATCCAAGGGTCCTGGGATCAATCCCTACATCGGGCTCCCCGCTCAGCGGGAAGCCTGCTTCTCCCTCTCCCACTCCCTCTGCTTGTGCTCCCCCTCTTGCTGTGTCTCTCTGTCAAATAAATATATAAAATCTTTAATAGATAAATAAATAAAATGGTTCCTGTTATATAAATTTCAACTCAGTAAAAAACATAGCAACGGAGGGACAGGAGATGCTTTTCCAACAGTAAAATTTACTATAAATTTGTTTATTACCATATTGCCACAGATCAGTGGAACCAAACGGATCACAGAAAGAGATCCAAACACGTATACAGAACGTAGTATTTGCCAAAGATCAGAAAGTATGTCTTACCTAATAAATAGTACTTGCAAATCAGCAATCCATCTTTAAAAAAAGAAAAACTAGATCATACCTTAAAATTATACACAAAAATAAGCTGTAGACAGATATTTCTGAATATAAATGAAAGTATTTTTAAAATTTTAGAAAAGTATTACTTTTATCCCAAAGTGAATGAGACCTTTTGAATGAATATAGGAAATTAAACAGACATAAAATGAAAAATTGACATAGCTGTCTGCATAAGAATTTTAAAATGTGTTCATGGTACACAGGGCCTCACTTCAGAAACACAACTGATAGGATTTAATAATTTGGTTTTTGTTTTGTTTGCTCGCCTTTTCAAAAGGTCACCACCATTCTAGCTGTACTATGGCAACGAGGCCAGAGAGGAGACGTGAGGGGGAAGCCCAGGGTGTGGGGGAGGTTTCAGAATGGGCCGGTGACAGTTAAGACGCGAAGACAAGTAAATGGGTTCCAGATGCACCTGGGAGATAAAACTGAAAGGATTCTGGGCAGCAAAGAAGAGGGACCAAGGATAAGGAAGGCTGGAGAAGCGAACAAGGCATCTGCCGGCTGGCGGGCTGTGGAAGGGACGCAGGGAGGGGAGATAATGAATTCAGTTTGGGGTATGTTCATTTGAGATGCTCAACAAACAGGTGGAAAAGACCTAGTAGTCAGTTAACACCAGTGGGTCTAGGACTCAGAAGAGAATCACGCACTAGAAAGGCAAACGTAAGAACTGTCTGCATGGAGATAGCCACTGAATCAAGGGAAACAGCAGAGTGAGGAGGGAAAGGCCTGGAGTTTGCCCTTAGCAATATTCATATTTAAAGGCACAACAGAATCTACAAAGATGACTGGACGAATACCTGGGAAAGGAGGAGGGAAAGCAGAACAGGGTGAGAGATGAAGGGCGGTGTGGGTGGTGGGGATGGTTCAGAAAGGAGAGATGATCAAAGTTACTCGAGATGCCGAAAAGTCAAAATGAGGCCTGAAAGATAAAAATATCCTTGTTAAAATGGGAGAGACCCAAGGATATTTAAATATTGGCAGAAAGAAGCCAAAAGAGCAAGGAAGAATGAAAACAAATGAAATAACTGCTAAGCTCAAGTTCCTAAGAAGCTGGTTTTGAGAGGGACAGATGCCAGTCAGAGAAGGGACCCGAAGCACAAGAACTGGAAAGGGAGACAGAAACCGCCTCCTGTATAACACGAAGGAAGAAAAGACGTGATCACATAGTATTTAATATTCAGAAGTTTTATAAATATGACCAAAAAGTTCACTTAATTTTACACTGGTAGATTTTTTTTTTTCCTGTGAAAACAGGAAACAAGGTTTGCTGCTGAGAGTGAAGGAGGAGAAAAGTCCGAGATTTATGAAAACTGAAATCTGAAATCCCCACTGCAGGGTAGGAAAAAAAATATGTCAAGAGTCCCAGGTACTGTTGAGAACCCACGACCCTGAATTTGCAGTGGTCATCAATGTCTGCTGTTCTAACTCCTCTCTGGCAACATCAGTTAGCTACTTGAGCACAGGAATGAAAAAGATGGAGGACGGGTTCATTCCAGGCGAAGTTTTCCTGGACAGCTGGAACGGAAAGTTAACAGGCAAGTCATCCAGGGCAGCTGTGAAACGGTAAGTACAACAGTGATCAGGGCGCCCGGTGGCTGAGTTGACTGAGTGACCAGCTCCTGGTTTCATCTCAGGTCATGATCTGAGCCCTACCCCGGGCTCTGCGCTCATCACGGAGCCCACTGGAGAGTCTCTCTCTCCCTTTACTCCTCCCCTGTGCACTCTCACTCCCTCTAAAATAAAAATAAATAAAACCCTAAAAAAAGAAATAAAGATATAATGAATCGTGGATGCCAAGTCAGAGAGGAAGAGGAGTGACGCAAAAAAGGGCTGGCCTGACCAGGAAAAAGAAAACGGTAATGGACCGGAGGCTGCAAAGCGGTCAGAAGAGTTGAACTTAACGGACACGGACTGCTAGAAAGACAGGAAATACGGTGAGAACAGGGTATCTCAAAATCAAATCTTAACAAGTAGCATGGTTCCAGGCACAGAAGTTCCATGATGGAAAGGAGGTAGAAAGCGGGGCTGAGGAGGTAACAGATGAGAGTCAGGGAACGGACAGAGCTGCCCCGTGAGTCTAACGCGCTGCTGGAGGGAGTCCCCGCGCTAGCACCCTCGTGCGGGCACACGGTGCGCCGCGTGATGAGTAAGAGGGTGAACTGGTTTACTGATTCTGGTTTCAAATGCTTCCAGAGCATTAAAATGCAGCATTAAGTAGATTCATAAATGTAAGTTCATAAAAATTATTTCAAATTATTTCTCTAGGAATAAGGGAAGTAAGGGAAGTAAGGAAATAAGGGAAGTTCATTCCAGTAGTAATACACTAGGTCAAAGGAAATTGTTCAATAGGGCCTAATCCTAAGTACACAAGAGTCTCCTGCCACTTTATTATGACAGAAATAAGCAAAACCTCTTACTTTCAAAATGAACTATTCCATCAATCTGATCAATAAATCCATTCATACGTCCTTCTGTTATCATTTGTGATGCTATTTTTTCTGCCTGTTAAAAAAAAAAACAAAGAAACAATAAACTCTCGTAAACTTTATCATATCTAACAGTTCCTCACATGTGAAAGAACGGAAATCTCTTGGTTTAGCTACCCACACACTTTCTATGTTCATCTGCCATTCATCACAAGATTAATCTTGTAAATCTGCCTATTTTATCCCCCAGTCCTTTCGATATAACCCATTACTTTACGTTAGCTGGGATCTGTTTTACTTCTGAGATTTTGGACAAGAGCCTAATACTCTTACCAATTTCTTCCTCTGCCTAAAATCAAATTAACAATTTTTCTTCTCACAGAAATCCATACCTCAAGAAAGCCTACACAAACTAGTTTTTCTTTTTACTTCATTTAAATTTGCAGTGTTTATCACCTAGAAAATTCTTTAAGAAAGTAGTATTTTTGAAGAAAGTAATATTTTGAAGGAGGAATGATGTTCAAATTTAAAAGGGAATTAAAAAGGGGTGCCAGGCATGGGACTCTTGATCTCAGGGCTGTGAGTTTGAGCCCCACACTGGGTGTAGTGATTACTTAAAAAACTAAACTCTTTTTTAAAAAATTAAATATATAGATAGATAAATAAAAATTAAAAGAATTTTAAAGACAATTGGGGGGGGCCTGGGTGGCTGAGTAGGTTAAGCATCTACCTTTGTATCAGGCCATGATCTCTGGGTCCTGGGATCTAGTCCCACATAAGGCTCCCTGCTCAGCAGGGAGTCTGGTTCTCCCTCTCACTCTCCCTCTGTGCTTTCCCTCTCTTTCTCAAATAAATAAAATCTTAAAAAAAAAAAAAAAAAGACATTAAACGAAATCAAAAGGTCCTCTACCTAGCTCCTAAGGACATGTTTCATGTTTACTATGTGTAAGCAAACTGGCTTAAGACTTGGTCATTTTAGTAATTCTGACCATCTTCACAATCAACCCTAAACAACCGTACTATCATTTATTGCTAGATAATTAGTCTCAGCCTAAAAAGAAGGTATCTTTTTTTTTTTAAAGATTTTATTTATTTATTTGACAAGAGAGATCACAAGTAAGCAGAGAGGCAGGCAGAGAGAGAGGAAGGGAAGCAGGCTCCCCGCCGAGCAGAGAGTCCAATGTGGGGCTCGATCCCAGGACCCTGGGATCATGACCTGAGCCTAAGGCAGAGGCTTAACCCATTGAGCCACCCACGTGCCCCAAAAGAAGGTATCTTTTTTAATGGGAACTTAAGCTTTGGTTCCCAAACGGTTCCACTTCCTGTACTATGCACTGAATATGTACAAGTACAGTAACTGTGTTAGGAAATTCTAAATTAATATTTCACCAACAGATAAAAGGGGACATGATTCATTACTACATGATTTAAGATATGCAAGTTAGGTAAAAATAAGTGGATTGCTTACTTCTACTCTTATTTAAAATTAAGAGAATGTTTTTTAAATGACACCTGAAATACCCCCTAAATACTCTTGGTAGTTTTTGGTATTTGTACAGAGCCAACCAAACCTTTATCATGACTAAAGATGAAATTAATTTCCTACTAACTCAGTCAATTAAGATAAATCAAGCATAAAAGTTACAACAGAATAGCCTAGAGAATGACCACAGTTATTCTTTCAAACAGATAAAATATTTAACCTTTGAGTCAACTAGAGCGGAAAAAGACGTAAGGCATGTATCAAAATCTCAAGTTCATCAGAAATCAGAAAACACCATGAAGTGGACTGAAACAGACACTAAACAAAAGACTCTCATAAAACAGGTATCATAACCTGGAACCCCTTAAAGATTTTCATTCTAGGTCACTTTATCATAAAATACAGTTTTAAAAAAGCAAAAAAGTAGGACAATTCCATTACATTACTACTTTAACATTCAAATAATTTACTTCCATTTTCCTGAGGCTTTTTATGTGTATTTTTATTGCAATTGCCAATATTTATCGATTACGTATTGTAGTTTAGTCTAACTTCTTTTTTTATAAGTTGGAAACAAGAAAATACCTTAGCTGCAGGGATCTCTAAAAGAGCTCCAAGTTCTTCAAAGGTGATATTATTATATAATTTGCTTGCAGACAACAAATTATGTTCAATAACAGCTCTGTCCAAGATGCTAGAACCTCAAATAAATATAAATAAGACCGTTAAAAGCTTGAAACTTGTTTTACACTTTTTTCTACAAAGGATTTATTTATCTGTCTGAGAGAGAGAGTGAGTGGGAGGGAAGGGGCAGAGGGAGGACAGACAATCTCCGACAACCCCCACGCTGAGCAGAGCCCGACACGGGGCTCAGTCTCTCAACCCTGATCAATCACACCACACGGTCACCATCGATCAGACATTCAACCGTATGACCCAGGTGCCCCTTGTTTACACTTTTATTTTTTTTAGAAGATTTTATTTATTTATTTGACACGGCTGAATGATATTCCTGTGTGTGTGTGCGTGTGCTCACGTGTGCGTGTGCGCGCGTGTGTACACACCTCTTCTTTATCCATTCATCAGTCAGTGGACATTTGGGCTCTTTCCATGATTTGGCTGTGGCAGGCAATGCTGCTACAAACATCGAGGTACACGTATTTCTTTGAATCAGTATTTTTGTAAACCTCGGGTATATACCTAGTAGGGCAATTCCTATATTGTAGGTTAGTTCTATTTTTAACTTTTTGAGGAACCTCAACACTGTCTCCCAGAGTGGCTGCACGGGTTTGCATTCCCACCAAAAGTGTAGGAGGGTTCCCCTTTCTCCGCATCCTCGCCAACATCTGTTGTTTCCTGACTTGTTAATTTTCGCCATTCTGACAGGTGTGAGGTGGGATCTCACTGTGGTTTTGATTTGTGTTTCCCTGATGCCGAGTGATGTGGAGCACTTTTTCATGTGTCTGTTGGCCATCTGGATGTCTTCTTTGGAAAAATGTCACCCCTTTTTTAACTGGATTATTTGTTTTTTGGATGCTGAATTTTAGAAGTTCTTTATATATTTTGAATATTAACCCTTAACAGATTATCACCTATAATATTGTACTAGTTTAAGATGTACAACATAATGATTTGATATACGTATACACTGTAAAATAATTACCACAATAAATTTAACTAACACCCATTACCTCACGTTTTTTTGTTTGTCTGTTTGTTTGTTTGTGGTGAGAACTTTTAAGATCTACTCTCTTAGCCACTCTCAAATATAAAAACATAAATAAAGGGAAAATAGGAAAACTTAATACTTTTCGGATGGCAATAATCCCCAAGTTGATGTATGGACTCAGGGTAATCCCTATCGAAATTCCAGCTGGATTCTTGGCAGACACGAACAAACTGATTTTAAAGTTCATTCTATTGGGTCTCAGAGGAGCCAAAACAATCTTGAGAGGAAAACAGCTGGAGGACTCACACATCCCAATTTCAAAACTTGCTATAAAGATAGAGTAACCTAGACAGTGTGGTACTGGCATAGGGATAGGAATACAGAATGGAATAGAACTGAGACTCCAGAGATAAACTCGCACATTTATGGTCAACTGATTATCAACAAGGGTCCCAGGATAATTTAATGGGGAACTCACAGTCTCTTCAACAGTTACGAGGACAACTGGGTATCTGCATGCAAAAAAATAAAGGTGGACCTTGATCTTACACCACATACAAAAATGAACTCAAATGAATCAAATGTCTACATGTACGAGCTGTAACTATAAAACATACAGACGAAAACAGAGCAAGTCTTCACAACCCTGGATCAGGCAACAGCTTCTCAGTACAAAGTACAGGCAACAAAAAGCAGAAACAGATACACTGGACTCCATCAAAATTAAAGACTAATGTCTCAAAGGAAACCACCAGAAAGTGAAGAGAAAACACACGGAATGGGAGAAAGTATTGGCAAATCACCTGGTAATGATCAGGTCTAGAATATATAAAGAATTCCTACAATTCAGTAATAAAAGGACAAATAACCCAGTTTAAAAACTGAAAAGGATCCAAACAAACTTTTCTCTAAAGATATACAAACAGCCAAGAAGTACATGAAAAGCTGTTCGGGGAAAGGCAAATCAAAACGATGTGACACCAACTTCACACACACGAGGGTGTCCAAGTCAAAAGCACAGATAACAAACGTGAGAGAAAATATGGAGAAATCAGAACCTGCACACACAGCTGACAGGAATGCAGAAAGGAGCAGCTGCTTTTGAAAACAATCTGGCAACTTTTCAAAGGACTTACCACCAAGTTATCACATGTCCCCATCATTGCACTCCTACGTGAATACCGAGAAGAATTAAAAACCCGTGTTCGTACAAAAATTTTTACAGTGAAAATGGTGGAGGAATAGGAGACTGGTCCCAAGACTTCGGCTAGAAAGCTATCAAGTCATTCTGAACACCTGTGACTCAACCAGAAAGCTGAGAAAGAATAGCTGCTGCTCTACAGATAGAGAAGCGACCACTCTCTGCAAGGTAGATGTTGCAAAGAAGTGAATCAAGGTAATACATGGGCAGACAGACCATGGTGGGAAAGGGGATGGGGCGGGAGCCCCTGCCACCAGCTGGCCACAACCGATATAGAGCAGCAGAGCACAAAACCAGAACTGTTAGAAGTTGGCTCCAAAGCCAAAGAAATGTTGAAAGAGAAAACCAAAACGGTGGCCTCACAATTCCAGACTTCAAGCTCTATTACAAAGCTGTCATCATCAAGACGGTATGGTACTGGCACAGTAACAGACACATAGATCAATGGAACAGAATAGAGAGCCCAGAAACAGACCCTCAACTCTATGGTCAACTAATCTTCGACAAAGCAGGAAAGAATGTCCAGTGGAAAAAAGACAGCCTCTTCAACAAATGGTGTTGGGAAAATTGGACAGCCATATGCAGAAAAATGAAATTGGACTATTTCCTTACACCACATACGAAAATAGACTCAAAATGGATGAAAGACCTTAATGTGAGACAGGAATCCATCAAAATCCTAGAGGAGAAAACAGGCAGCAACTTCTTTGACCTCGGCTACAGCAGCTTCTTTTTTTTTTTATTAAAGATTTTATTTACTTGACAGAGAGAGATCACAAGTAGGCAGAGAGGCAGGTAGAGAGAGAGGGGGAAGTAGGCTTCCTGCTGAGCACAGAGCCCGACTTAGGGCTCAATCCCAGGACCCTGAGATCATGACCTGAGCTGAATGCAGAGGCTCAACCCACTGAGCCACCCAGACGCCCCCCTACAGCAGCTTCTTGCTAGACACACCTCCAAAGGCAAGGGAAACAAAGACAAAAATGAACAAGTAGGACTTCATCAAGACAAAAAGCTTTTGCACAGCAAAGGAAACAGTCAACAAAACCAAAAGACAACTGACAGAATTGGAGAAGATATTTGCAAATGACATATCAGATAAAGGGCTAGTATCTAAAATCTATGAAGAACTTATCAAACTCAACACTCAAAGAATAAATAATCCAATCAAGAAATGGGCAGAAGACAAGAACAGACCTTTCTCCAAAGGAGACATCCAAATGGCCAACAGACACATGAAAAAATACTCCATATCACACCAGTCAGAATGGCTAAAATTGACAAAACAGTAAACAATGTGTGTTGGTGAGGATGCAGAGAAAGGGGAACCCTCCTACACTGTTGGTGGGAATGCAAGTTGGTGCAACCACTCTGGAAAACAGCATGGAGGTTCCTCAAAAAGTTGAAAATAGAGCTACCCTACAACCCAGCAATCGCACTACCGGGTATTTACCCCAAAATTACAAATGTAGTGATCCAAAGGGGCATCTGCATCCCAATGTTTATAGCAACAATGTCCATAATAGCCAAGAGCCTAGATGTCCATTGACAGATGAATGGATAAAGAAGCCTTTATCCATTATATACATGTATACAATGGAATATTACATAGTTGTCAAAAGCATGAAATCTTGCCATTTGCAATGATGTGGCTAGAACTACAGGGTATTATGCTAAGTGAGATAAGTCAATCAGAGAAACATAATTATCATATGATCTCACTCATATGTGGAATTTAAGAAACAAAGCAGAGGATCATAGGGGAAGAGAAGAAAAAATAAAAGATGAAATCAGAGAGGGAGACAAACCATAAGAGACTCTTAATCATAGGAAACAAACTGAGGGTTCCTGGAGGCAAGGGAGATGAAGGGATAGGGTAACTGGGTGTTGGACATTAAGGAGGTTATGTGATGTAATAAGCACTGGGTAAAGACTGATGAGTCACAGACCTGTACTTCTGAAACCAGTAACACGTTATACGTTAATTAACTGAATTAAAATAGAAAAAAATTTACATGAATATTCATAGAATCATTATCAATAGCCCAAAGTGAAAATAACCTAAATGTCCATCAATTGATGAGGAAATAAAATGCAGTATATTCACATATAGAATATTATTTGGCAATAAAAAGGAATAAAGTATTGATAAATGCTACAACATGGATAAACACTTTGTCAAGTGAAAAGGCTATATATTGTGTGATTCCATTTATGTGAAACGCCCACCACAGACAAATCTAGTGAGCAGAAAGCAGATTAGCAGTAATATTACACAACTTTAAGAATACAAAAAATGAATTATAATTTAAAATAATTACATCTCAAGATTGCTAAGGGTTATAATGTCAATCAACAAAAATGTCCAGAAGAGATAAATAAGAAAAACAGTAAGGCCTAAAATGGGAGAAGACAACGAAACATCTGTCCCCTCTTTATAGTCCCATGGGAGAGATTTGATGATTATTTTTATCCTCAGAGGTCCTAGGAAGCATCCTTTTTACAAAGAATCTTTTCACTTTTTTTTTTCATAGCCAGAAAGTTCAAAGTCAAATGTAAAGTTTGACTGTATCACTTCCAGAAACTTTTTCTTTTTAACTATCTTTTCCAACTTGTTAGACATCTCAGAATGTTAGCTGCTCAGAATACATGGAAAAGAATTTAAAAGTAACAACAATCAAAACACATACATACACACTATTTATAGGTAGGCTAATTTAATAAGCTTTCTAGCAGTCAAGATAAGAAAAACCAACCAACTCAGAGTGTATTTTTTTTTTTAAGATTTTTATTTATTTATTTGCACAGAGATCACAAACAGGCAGAGAGGCAGGCGGGGGGCGGGGGGAAGCAGGTACCCCGCTGAGAGGAGAGCCTGATGTGGGGCTCGATCCCAGGACCCCGGGATCATGACCTGAGCAGAAGGCAGAGGCTCTAGCCCACTGAGCCACCCAGGCACCCCCAGAGTGTATTCAAATAAGATTTAAAAAAACAAAACAAAACAAAACCTGTTCAGGAGAATCACAACTGCAAGACTGTGAAGAACTTTCCCTGAGGACTGCATGACGAATATCCTATAGAAAAAATACCTCCTTTAGACAGAAGGATGAAAATCAACTAGTTTGCTTCTTAAAGTATAAATTAAATGAAAAATTCAATAGGCGGTCACTGCAATTCCTTCAGTGATCTGGTCTAACTCAGGGCAGTAAGACTGGGTGAAGTGTATACCCTTCAGCAACCCCCCTGCATACATGGCTTTTTACGGCTGAATTCTCTTTGATGCAGGATGATGTTGAATCCAAGGAAGTAAGTCTAACAGATCTGCATTTATCTTGACTTTTTTCATGTTTCTGATGCTCTGTTTATATTTTTATTATTACGTGTTATTGTTTCAGTTACTTTAAAACCTCTGTAGACAAACATATATAAAGTGACTGATGTTACAAACAAGCAACTATTAAAAACTTCTCTGGAAAAGGTAGCCTGGCAAGCAAATAGATCCCTTGACTAGGAAACATGACACCAAGTTCTATTCTTACTGGTAGCACTTTCACCCGGAATAACCTTAAGCAAGCTACTGTGCCAAATTTTACTCTATCTAAAATAGGACTGGATAATTACACTGTTAAAAACTGATGCTTAAAATTAATTAAGGTTGGGGCGCCTGGGTGGCTCAGTGGGTTAAGCCTCTGCATTCAGCTCAGGTCGTGATCTCAGGGTCCTGGGATCGAGCCCCGCATCGGGCTCTCTGCTCCACAGGGAGCCTGCTTCCCCCTCTCTCTCTGCCTGCCTCTCTGCCTACTTGTGATCTCTCTGTCAAATAAATAAAATCTCTAAAAAAAAATTAATTAAGGTACTTATCAAAGGGTTTGAGTTTTTCAAAAACCAGTCACTAGGGGCGCGTGGGTGGCTCAGCCATTAAGCATCTGCCTTTGGCTCAGGTCATGATCCCAAGGTCCTGCACTGAGCCCTGCACTGGGCTCCCTGCTCAGCGGGAAGCTTCTCCCTCTCCCACTCCCACTCCCCCTGCTTGTGTTCCCTTTCTTGCTGTCTCTCTCTGTCAAATAAATAAATAAAATTTTTAAAAACAAATAAATAAAAATAAAAAATAAAAATCAGGCACTATTAACATAGGTTATAGTTCTGCCCTTGTAATCTGTGAAGATGCATTACTCTACAATATGCTTTCCAATAGGGCTATTTTTATTATTTAAACCCTACCATTTTCAGTCAATATAATACTCCTTTTTGGTCATCAAGTGTTATGTAAAAATATTATAGAAAGATATCAAGATGCTTCAAATGTAACACACTTGCCACTGTGTGTACCTAAATATTTGCTTCCACAAATTAAGACCTGATCATTACCATCAGCGGTAGTTGCTTTTTGGTGAGGCATTAACATGGCAGCAAACTCTTGAAGTTGATTTCCTCTGATGATCCTGTCTAGGTACATTTTCTCTAGGATCCCATAAGCAGCAAGTTGCTGGCACCTTTCATCCTTGAAAAGAGTGGCTAGCATCCGAGAACGCTGCTGTCCTAAGGGAAGAAATGAGCATCAAATATTCTCACAACCTATTTCTCCAATAGGAAACTATGTTATGACTCCATTTTTGCCTACTAAAATACAGTCAGTTGTCCTGATTTGTGGCAGCAAGTTCTACAAAGTTACTGCCAACACAGAATTAGTGAATACTCAATTGCTCATCCAAAAAGAATGAGTGATAAGTATTGACACATAAAGACCGCCAATATACAGGAAGGAAAAAAGCAGGTTACAAAGTATGCATATCATGCTACTGTTTATTAAAAAAAGAGGATACAAACAGACACTTGTACAGGAAGGAAACCCAAGTAACCAGTAAAAGCTCTTAAGAACTGGAAGCAATACCATTCTATGTATTGCCTTTTCAGCAACAAAAATACAATAAATAAGATCACTGCTTCATAAGGAATGAAATGTGTAGTATGAACATGTCATCAAGCTCTCAACTAAATACAGATCAAGAAACATTCTAAAAATTATTTAGAAAAGCCATGGCTTAGCATTACCAGCTTTTTTTCTCAATGTCTTTTCTGCTCTATAAGTTGAGTGATTTATATGCTATAATTTAGTAAAAAAGAACAAAGAACAGTTTATTTTTCATATTTACCAAAGAAAAGGATAAATGTGAGATATAAAACTAAGGCTTGAAGTTAAAGAAAATCCCAAAAGCAGTACGTTATTATCAATCTCTAGATTTTAATTTTTATTTCCCTTTATATAATTTTCACTGAATTTCATTATTTATTTTTAAGAGCTATATTAGGCAAACTAAATTTCATGTTCTCTCTCTTAATTACTCCTAACACATGTGGGTAATAGACTGATACATGCATATTTAAAAATTTTTTAAGTTAGCAGTCTATTTTATTGCTGTTTTTAACTGTTTAAATGTTTAAAATAAATTTATAATTGCATAAGACATAATTATAATTGCAATAAGACATCCCCTTAAAAAATAGTTCTTTGCTAAATCCTCCAGTAGTAATGGACCTGCAATTATTAAGCAAAGGTAACTGACTGTTCATGAAAGCACAAATTACAGGTTTACCTGCTGACGCCAAGATGGTACAGTGCAAAGCATGTTTTAAGGCCTCTAGTCTTTCACTTTCGTGCACTATTGTCTTGTAAGAGAGCTCATTGTACCTTTGTGCAGCTTCAATGAATTTTCTTCTATAATCGAGAACACGTGCATAGCATACCTAAAGAGGGAAATTTCTCAATTAGGGGAAAAAATTCAAAATCAAAGCCAAAAACTCAAAATCAAAGCAAAAAATAAAATGATGTTCTGGAGCATTTTAGTATAGTAGGATTCTCCAATACAAAATTAATCCCAAATCAGCTCATCTGTTACCTTATAGTGTATCTGTAACTGCTCATTGGTGGATTCATTCTGAAGCAATGATGCTCGATTTATGTAAGCCTCTGCCTGGACGGGATCGTCATCTTCCAGATATAGCCTCGCGATCTTCAGGTAAGTCTCCAGTTTATAATCTACATTGTACTGCCTAGGATGTAACAGAAAAAAACAGAATGACTAAATATATAATCAAGAAAGTTTTTAGGAGGGGCACCTGGGTGGCTCATGGGTTAAAAGCCTCTGCCTTCGGCTCAGGTCATGATCCCAGGGTCCTGGGATCGAGCCCCACATGCGGGGAGCCTGCTTCCCCCCTCTCTCTGCCTAACTCTGTGTCTACTTGTGATCTCTCTTTCTCTATCAAATAAATAAGTAAAATCTTAAAAAGAAAAAAAAGGATTTATTTAAAAAAAAAAAAGTTTTTAGGAGTTGGAGAAAATACATTTTTTTCATTACATATTCTGTTAAATTACGAGAATCAAATTTTTACTGTATTAGAAAAAGTCTAAAAAATATTTACAAAATAAATTTTACTCAATTTTTATTTTTTCTATCATGATTGTTCTATTGTTTTTTAGCTTCCTTCAATCCTCAGATAATCTCACAAGTCAAAGAACTTAAAAAATGCCCAGTTGAGGGGTGTATCATATAGTGGTGTTGGGGCTATAAATGAGTAAACCATCCTGGAAAACAATTTGGCAATATATTTTCCAACCACCCTTTGAACCCTTGAAAATGCATACATTCCTTACCTACTATATTTTACCTCCAGAAAATTAATCTCAAGAAAATAATCAGGGATGTGTACACATATATAAAAGGAATATTCATTTATAAAGTTACTCATAAATATCTAACAGGAAAAAACTGGGAATCACCTATTATGATATTTATAACAATCAACTAAATTGTGATACATTAAGATGGTAGGATAATATACAGTTGTTATAATCATTACTATATGAAAACAGTCATGTATTTTTGCTAAGTGAAAAAACAGGATAAAACAGCATGTAAGACACTATTCAGATGTATTTCTATACATACTTATGAAGACAGTAATACCAATTATCTCTTGGTGTTGAGATTACAGGTGGTTTTCATTTTTTTCTTTATCTCTGTGGCCACATTTTATGCAAGAAATGCACAACTGACACCTCACGTAATTCGAAACTTACAAAATTCAAGATTAATCCTTACAGAAAAATCTTTTTTATTACCAGCAAAAGTGATGCCACCATGTGGCAAGAACAGAGTTTACAATTTACATGGCCCAAGTTCTGAAAGTCTTTACTTTTTAAAATTTTTTATACTAATTCAAAATTTTTCCCCAGGTCATATATTGCTAGCGTTTTGTAGTATACTATTTCCATTCATAACTCAAATATACATGAACTGCTATAAAGAGTACTATACTTTTGGGGACGCCTGGGTGGCTCAGTGGGTTAAAGCCTCTGCCTTTGGCTCAGGTCATGATCCCAGAGTCCTGGGATCGAGCCCCGCATCGGGCTCTCTGCTCCGTGGGGAGCCTGCTTCCTCCTCTCTCTGCCTGCCTCTCTGCCTACTTGTGATCTCTGTCCGTCAAATAAAATAAAAATTAAAAAAAAAAAAAGAGAGAGTACTATACTTTTATTGAGTTTTCCAATTTTTATGCCATCTATTAAGTTTATTACTGTAACTACCAAAATGAGTAATTCTTTAAAGAAATAAGTTCTCAACTGTTTATCCAGATTCTACTTTTAATCACTTTTAGGTTAATTTGTTTAGAAAACTGCTAAATTTTCAGTTCTCTGACATCCTCACAGAGAAAGATAATGCTACGGCACTATCAAAATGGTAATTACAGTCACTGTAAACAGAACGGTATCTAATACATTCAACTCCCTACCAGGTACTTCCACTTGGTTATCACATGTCCAAAATGGAACTCTTGATCTTCCCTTAAAACCTATTCTTTACTACTCAGTAGATGGCAACTCCATCCTTCCAGGAGTTCAGACCAAAACCAGGATTTATTTTGGCTCTTTTTCTCATACTCCATATCTAAGCTACCAGAAAACCCTTAGCTCTACCTTAAAACCATATCCAGAATCCAACATTTCTCACAATCTCCATCTTCTCTGCAGTGGTACAGTTAGTCTCAACCCAGTAGACAGAATGATTTTCTAAAATATAAATCAGATCATGTCGATCTTCCATACAAAATCCTCCAACGGCTCCCCCTCATTTCACTTAGAGAAAAGCCAAAGGCCTTATAATGACTTAGAAGAACCTACATAATCCAGTCTTTGGTACTCTCTGATCTCAGCCCCCAACTTTCCTTGGCTTGCTCCACTCCAACCACTCTGGTATCCCTGATCTTCTGAAAATACTCCAGGCGTGCTCCTGTCTTAGGGCCTTTACATTAGCCATCCTCCCCACCAGATCTACTGACAGTCTTCTCAGCTCACAGCCACTCCCTCACTTCCTTCAAGTATCTGAGAAGATGTACCTGGACACCCTACCACTCCAGTCACCCTATTTAATGATACAACCTGTTCCCCACTTTCCCTTTACTTTTCTCTCGAGCACTTATCACCTTCTAATATTCTACAAAATGTCTGTACTTATAAGTTGTTTATGATGTTTCCTTCACTAGAATGTGAGAAAAAACACAAGTGAACAATGATACATATCCTATATACATCTCCATCCAATATCCACTATTTACTATACTTTTGTCCTGTTTCCAAAGGAATTCCCACCAACACTTGGGCTGCATTTCTCCAATCTTCTTCTTTCTCATATATGGATGCAAGATGCTGTCTTATTGACGCAACCTGGAATAACAGGCAGACGTGTTAAATTACTTCAACTCACATTAGTGACTCAAATAAATGGATGCGAAGTTAATCTATTGTGATAATGCTTTCGTTTAACATATTAAGCTGACAAGTAAATAGTACAAGTGTCACTAGACCACCCCTATTTTTTTAATGAATTCTGCATATACAGAATACCAAAATACTGAACACATTTCTGCAATGTGGATTATGGCAGTAATTTAGCTTAAATATGAAATTGTACTTTTATGTTAACTGCATACATAATGTTGGAGTTTTCCTATTATTTTAACCTTATTAACAATTTTGCTGACTCTTAAAAATTGTCTAAAGAGTAATATTTGGTTTATAAATCAAATTGTAACGTCTGAGCAACTGTCAGCTAGAGTTACAACATCCTAGTATCTATTTTTACATTGTAACATGCTATTTGACACACCATTTTGTCAAAAATAAAACTGGATGACCATCTCCTTCAAAAATGCAGTAATACCTCCTAAAATACCTGCTGCTATCTCATGTTCAAAAGTCACTGCTTGAGATTTTTACCTGCTCCTCAAATGAAATGACTCTAGGCTGGATCTTCTCCAAGGTGAAGTGATAGACATCTTTGGCCGTGCTGTCAGGCAGGTTAGGGAGATGTGTACAGAAATCAGTTAGCAGCTGTCGAGAGATCACGAGACTGACATTCTCATTTACCACTTGACAAAGGAAAAAAGATAAGAAAACATGAATCGTTTATAAATTTTCATTAAGCAATCAATTTTTACCTAAAATTAACATTAAAAACAATATATATTAGTGCATTCCTAATAATGAACCTTCAGTGCATTATTCAGGGATTTCCACACCCGTATCAGCTTATATTACATAATTAGTTTTCCTTATGCTGAATTATTTGATTACATAATGATTATACCAAAACAGTAAAAATCCCCTATATTTTTCTAAGAAACAGAAATGGCTGGGGAAAAGTTTTCTTTCACATTTGAGAATTTTATATTCTTCCTTCTCTCCCTTATTTTTCTACAAAGGGAAGGCACAGAAACACCTCCATTTTTATGTATCTACTTACATTCCACCTGGTTACAAAAAGGAGTTAAAGAAGAAACTGAGATAATGTTCCTGAAATTGAAATAGAGCAAGTAGTGACAGTTACCGCTACTGTACTTTCCCGTAAAAATGACAAAACTGAAATCAGCATTAGATGTACAGGCAGACTTAATGACATTATTTATAAACATTTATGAGTGTTTATCACTGTATGTGGTTACAGATGAGAGCTCTGAAGCCACGCTGCTTCCAGCACTCCTGATCAGATGCTCTCCGAAAGAAATCAGAGATCAGCTTCTCTGTGTTTGTTTTCTCGTCCGTACAATGTGGCTAAGGCTGTGAAGCTTAAGTGCCCTGTACCTAGAGCACTTTAAACAACATGGGGCACAAAGCACTCAACAAATTTCATTATTATTAGCACCATTATTATATTTGTGCTTGTACCACTGCTCAGATAAATTAAGTCTGAAACCAGCAGTTACCAGGAAAATAAATGATGGTCCAAAACTGCTGAGCTGATGTGAATGATTTTCGGTAGATGGCTTTTCATTAGTGCCCTGGATTCAAAGTTTATACAAAGATCAAAGTTTATAAATAAAAATCACTATTCTTTTGCTACTACAATGCAGTGTTCTCAATAAACCATTCCTATCAATCTTTCTAAAGCCACTGCCAGTTCAACACCCAATGCAGGCCCCGATCGTTCTGAGGCAGTAACTTACAGTAACCTGTAACAAGCGTGTAATCAGTTCATGATGTATTAATCATAATTCATTCTTGGATAAGCCGGATACGGTTGAAAAATAGTTTCATTACAAGTGCCATTGGGCATTTACAACTGTTCGAAAGAAATTCCTACACAAACTAGCGCTTCTCACGAGCATGTGTGTGAAAGCATGCTGTATAGTATAAAGCCCTCTCAAATGTCCTTACTACTGTTAACTCAGGATCAACTCCAGCCTGACTTTCTTTTTTTTTTTTTTTTTTTAAGATTTTATTTATTTATTTGACAGAGAGATCACAAGTAGGCAGAGAGGCAGGCAGAGAGAGAGGAGGAAGCAGGCTCCCTGCCGAGCAGAGAGCCCGACGCGGGGCTCGATCCCAGGACTCTGAGATCATGACCTGAGCCGAAGGCAGCGGCTTAACCCACTGAGCCACCCAGGCGCCCCAACTCCAGCCTGACTTTCGAGTAATTTTCAAAATAGCTGGATACGTTTGAAGTCAGGAGTAGGTGAGAATGTCTTGAAGAATGGAAATGTCTGGTTCCCATTCAAACGGAGTGCTCTTCACGTTAGTAACACTTAACATCTCTGCAGCACTTACTACATGCCAAGGACTATTCGAAGCTCTTTACTTGGTACATCAACTCCTTTATTCTCCCAGCATTGCCGCAGGGTAGCTATCACATCCCCATTTTATAGATGAGGACATGGAGTCACAAAGGAAGTAACTTACCCAAGAACACACAACTAATATAACAAGAGACCAGACTGAATCTAGACTATTCTCTTTATCATTATGCTACATTGTCTTTCATCAGTTACTGTATCAATTACTATATAAAACCTTAATTGGTAATGTAACTCTGAAGACAACTTATTGAAAAATAACCAAGTAGTAAATAAATTCTAAAGTGAATTTCCACGTGATTTAATTTAATGTCAATGCAAATTATATTGGTAACTTGATCTAAAACAAGCGTGAGCAAGCTTTGAAGTCCTAACTCAGTAACACAAGGCAAACATGGAATTTTCATTCCACTTACTTGCTTCCACAAAAGCTTTCAAAGCTTCTAGTTGTTCTGCCCCAGATAACTGAACGGCTTTTTCCAGGATCTGACGGTACCTAAAACAACACCAAATGAAAATAAAGTTCAGAGGACGTTACATACTCTAATGCTCACTCTGATGTTTACTCATTTCTGTTTATCCTGGTTTCTTTCACAGTGCTCTAGTTGGTGGTTTTCTTTATAGTACACCATAGATTTCTTTTGTTGTTGTAAGTTCCTAGTCCATCATAAGAAACACTAAATCTGTAATTCTAAGGTATCACTCCTTCTTGTTTTCTTTACAATACACCACAAATTTTTTTAAGTTTTCAGCCCCGGAAGCAAATAGCTGGCTTCGTTGATAAGAGTATGAGACTCCTGATCTAGAGGACTGTGAGCTCAAGCCCCACAGCGGGCATAGAGCCTACTTAAAAAAGAAAAAAAAGTTTTCAAGCCCATCACAAGAAAGTGAATCTGTAACTCTAAGTTATTGGAGCTAAAGTGTCACTTTTTCTTGAAAAAGTTTTAGGTTTTTGGGTTTTTTTAAATTTTATTTATTTATTTTGAGAGAGAGATCACAAGTAGGCAGAGAGGCAGAGAGAGAAGGGGAAACAGGCTCCCTGATGAGCAGAGAGCCCAACTGGGCCCGATCCCAGGACCCTGAGACCACGACCTGAGCCGAAGGCAGAGGCTTTAACCCACTGAGCCACCCAGGTGCCCCAAAAAAGTTTTAGTTTTAAATTTAAACTAAAATGTCAACTTTTGGGGTTTTTGGGTGGCTCAGCCAGTTGCGCATATGACTTGATTTCAGTTCAGGTTGTAATCTTGGGGTTGTGGGGTTGAGCCCCTACCCCCAATGGCCCTATGCTCAGCAGGAAGTCTGCTTGGAATTCCCTCTCTCCTTCTGCCCCTCCCCACACTTGGGCACAGGCATGTGCACATGCTAGCTCGCGCTCTTAAGTAAATGAATCTTTTTTTAAAGAAGTCTCTTATGATTTGCCTTCTTCTCTTTAAATAAATCAACTTGCTTTCAAATGTCTTAAAAAATAAGCTATATTTCCTTCAATTATGTATTACACAGACACAAAAATGTTATTTGAGGTGACCTAGAACCTTTCCTCTTGCAGACCTAATGAAACTAGGGTTACCAACAATAGGATAGTGTTGACTAGGCAGTGAAACAAAATACTAGGGATTGAATGTCTTAGTGTGTACAAAATAAACTCTACCAAGCCAAATGCACTGACAGAACACGCCTCATGTTCTCAGACATGCCTATACATTCTTTATTTGCAATCACTTCTAGTAACTATTCTGCCTAATATTCATGACCACATAAGATTCAAATCAGAAGAAGGATGGGGATGGGGGAGAGGTGTCTGGGTGGCTCCACTGGTTAAGTGTCTGCCTTTGGCTCCTGTCATGATCTCAGGGTCCTGGGATTGAGCCCCCTCCCCTCAGTTGGGAATCCCTGCTCAGCAAGGATTCTGCTTCTCCCTCTCCTTCTGCCCCTCCCTCCTACTCATGCACTCACTCACCCTCTCTCTCTCTCTCAAATAAATAAATAAGAATCTTAATTTTTTTAAAAAAAGGATGGGGGAAATGCTAACAACAGGAACAACGACAGTTATTAGACAATGGCAAACCCCTTCCTAAAAAGATAAACTCTAGGAGGACAAGGATTTTTGTTTGTTTCGTTGACTGCTATACACACAATGCCTAAAGCAGCGTATCACAAGCATTCAAATATTTAACAGTACTGGTAAGTAATAAAACAGTATTTTATTTCTTAAACTGAGTGGTAGGTACACAAGTATCATACTATTGTTTATCCCTCTGTCTTAATAGTAATATTTATTAAAAGCATTAGTTAATGGGGCGCCTGGGTGGCTCAGTGGGTTAAGCCTCTGCCTTCGGCTCAGGTCATGATCTCAGGGTCCTGGGATCGAGCCCCGCATGGGGCTCTCTGCTCAGCAGGGAGCCTGCTTCCCCCCTTTCTCTCTGTCTGCCTCTCTGACTACTTGTGATCTCTCTCTCTCTCTGTCAAATAAATAAATAAAATATTAAAAAAAAAGCATTAGTTAATATATTTCGCAAACCTAATAGTATTGCCAATTATTCAGAACGTTATCCAGAATATAGTCAAGAAACAGAAATATACAAATAGAAAAAAAATATATACAAATAGGGCACAAACCCATTCAAATGATTTGTATTTTGTACAAGCTACCATTCAACACTTACTGATTCTCAACCCATACAGTACTCTCTGAACCTTGGTTATATGATTTCTCAAAAACACGAGTCAAACTGACTTGTAAGAAAGATAAACTGACAGAATAGGCAACAAACTCCAAAAGAAGAGAACTACTACTCTAATAAAGCAAGGAAATATTATTAAGCTTTAAAATAAAAATTGATGTTTTTAAAATTATTTTTAAAATTTGAGGGACAATATTCAGCTATCTGAAAATTCATTAACATGGACTATCTCACTCTTTCTCTATATACATATATACACACATGCACATATACTATTTCCCATATCTATATTTATACATCTACTTCACTGCTCTGGGCATTCAATGGTTTATTCATTTGTGATTGGCTTATTATTCATATTTTTCATATTCATGGTTAAGCCCCCTTAATCTGACATCCCCATAGATTATTTTATACTAACAATATTATACTCAAAGACGACAATGTTGCACAGAAATTTTCTAATTAACCAGGTTTTTTTTAAGATTTTATTTATTTATTTGACAGAGAGAGAGAGATCACGAGTAGGCAGAGAGGCAGGCGTGGGGGGGCGGGGGAAGCAGGCTCCCCGCTGAGCAGAGAGCCCGATGTGGGGCTCGATCCCAGGACCCTGAGATCATGACCCGAGCCGAAGGCAGAGGCTTAACCCACTGAGCCACCCAGGCGCCCCTCTAATTAACCAGTTTTAAAGCACTGTTTCATAACTTGTCAACTGATCTGTATTAAAAAACACACCAAAGGGGAACCTGGGGGGCTCAGTGGGTTAAAGCCTCTGCCTTTGGCTCAGGTCATAATCTCAGGGTCCTGGGATCGAGCCCCACATCGGGCTCTCTGCTCAGCGGGGAGCCTGCTTCCTCCTCTCTCTGCCTGCCTCTCTGCCTACTTGTAATCTCTGTCTGTCAAATAAATAAGTAAAATCTTAAAAAATAATAATAATAAATAAATAACCACACCAAAAAAAAAAAAAAAACCCTAGAAAGTGATAAAACTTTTACATTAACCACATCATACAACTTGCCAGAGCATTATGAATTGCCTAATCAAACTCTCAACTTTTACAGATTAAGAAAGAGAGAAGAGAGGTACAGAGTTCAGGCTAGACGCTATCTTACTCATTCTCTAATATGTAAATTCCAGTATTCCAGTATCTAAGAATAAGAAATTAGTTCTTTACAATAATAATAAGGAATGACTAATAAACCTAATTTAAATCTGGGTTCAGATAATCAGTCGGGTACCTGGCTGGCTCAGTCAGTTAACCGGCTGCCTTCAACTCGGTCATAATCCCAGTGTCCCAGGATCAAGCGAGCTGCGAGTCAGGCTTCCTGCTCAGTGGGGAATCGGCTTCTCCCTTTCCCTCTGCTCCTCCCACTTGTGTGCTCTCTCTCTCTCTAATAAATAAAATTTAGGGGCACCTAGGTGGCTCAGTGGCTTAAGCCTCTGCCTTCGGCTCAGGTCATGATCTCAGGACCCTGGAATTGAGCCCCAAATCGGGTTCTCTGCTCAGCGGGGAGCCTGCTTCCTCCTCACCCTCTGCCTGCCTTTCTGCCTACTTGTGATCTCTCTCTCTTTCTGTCAAATAAATAAATAAAATCTCAAAAATAAATAAATAAAATCTTTTAAAAAACAATCATTTAATATGCCATATTAAATAATCCAAAAATGGGGCGCCTGGGTGGCTCAGTGGGTTAAAGCCTCTGCCTTCAGCTCAGGTCATGATCCCGAGGTCCTGGGATCGAGCCCCATGTCGGGCTCTCTGATCCGCAGGGAGCCTGCTTCCTCCCCTCTCTCTCTCTGCCTGCCTCTCTGCCTACTTGTGATCTCTCTCTGTCAAATAAATAAAATCTTAAAAAAAAATTTAAAAAAAAATCCAAAAATGTGAATTGAGCACCTAGGGGTTTTAAAATGTTGTATAAGATTCTGTGTATGATACTAAAGAGACTTTAAATAACCTTAGTCTTTGAAGCTATAGTCTAGGCAAATAAAAATTTAAATATCAAATAATATTATCACAAATTACAATAAAACAAAAGTCACTGAAATGAATAAAACTGAACAATATAAGAAATATGACTGCAAGAACTAATAAATGAATTCGGTAAAGTTGTGGGATACAAAATCAATGCTCAAAAATCTGTTCTGTTTCTTTTTTTTTTTTAAGATTTTATTTATTTATTTGACAGAGAGAGAGACACAGCGACAGAGGGAACACAAGCAGGGGGAGTGGGAGAGGGAGAAGCAGGCTTCCCCCAGAGCAGGGAGCCTGATGCAGGGCTCAATCCCAGGACCCCAGGATCACGACCTGAGCCAAAAGCAGACACTTAACAACTGAGCCACACAGGCGCCCCTGTTGTGTTTCCAATAGCCAAAATATGGAAAGAGCCCACATGCCCATCAATAGATAAATGGATAAAAAAGATGCTATATATATGAATATATATATTATATATACACACAATTTTATATATATATATATATATATATATATATATATATACACATATACATATGGAATATACTCAGCCACCAAAAAGAATGAAGTCTTGCCATCTGCAACATGTGGATGAACTAGAGCGCATTATGCTAAATGAAGCAAGTCCATCAGAGAAAGACAAATACGTATATGTAAGTATGTATGATTTCACTCACAGGTAGAATTTAAGAAACAAAACTGAAGAACATAAGGGAAGGGAAGGAAAAATAAAATAAGAAGGAAACAGAGAGGGAGACAAACCATAAGAGACTTTTTTTTTTTTTAGTAAAGATTTTATTTATTTATTTGTCCGAGAGAGAGAGAGAGAGAGAGAGAGAAAGA